TTCGCTCAGAAAATAAAATTTGAAGGAGTTATGAAAAGCCTGACAGAAGACATTACAGAACACAATATCAATCAGTACTGTTTTTTTATCACACTGGTCACATCTGTAAAAGCATACAGCAGAATTATAACCATACAGATATAGAAAGACTAGGTACAAAATAATCTTGTTATGGAGAGGAACTGAAGCAGAGTGCCTGTTTGTATTTGAGAGGAGGAGGGAAACATACAGAATAGAAATTGTCACTGTGATGAAAGGAGCACGTTATCTTGTAACAGAAGAACTTGAGGATTACCAACAAAAATGGAGGACAAAGTTCAAAATGAATGGAATGTTTTTCATGCAAAATAGCCAGCCTGGGGCACTAATTGATGCACGACTTGCCAAGGGACACTGAAGATGCAAAAAGCAGTAACTAGATAAGGAGCATCCAGTTTTCTAGAACTTGTAAACCACTTGGCAAAACCTGTATGTATCAAAAGTCCACAAGACACACACCACCATTTACCAGAAGATGGTGGAGACTAAAAGTACCCGACAGTCCACAGCAAAGTTACGAGAGCAGACGTTTCTCAGGTGCCCTGTCTCAGGGCACACTGCCTTGGTCCCTAGCTGGTCTGTGCACATCCCAGGGAGATCTAGGCATGCTGCTCTAAGCAGTCCACACTGGTTCACTTCCTTACTGAGACAGGTCTGGATTACCAAGGACAAAACTGGCACAAGAATTACTTACAAACCACATACAGATACCGTTGGACCAGAGACTTTCATTCATACAAGAACGCTAAGTATTAAGAGAACAAGCAGAAGGGCGGGCACGGCCTTTAATGCTTCAAATCCCTCCTTGCCCCAAGTCAGCCTTGATCTGCCAAAACCCTTATTAACATATGTTTGCCCAAGTTTTTAAACCCTCCACTGACAGAAGGTCTACAAGCAGTATATTGCATTTAAATTTCCAATGGTTAACCAGCTTGTCTGGTTAAAAGGTATAAGGCTCACAGTAAGGACCAATAGAAATTAATTAGTGCTCAGTAAAATATGGGTGTCACATGATCCAAAAGTTTCTTTTAGCCATAAGATCCATTAATGTGTAAACAACCATGATCAATGCAAATCAACATCTGGCTTCATGGCTGGTGTTGATGCCAAGACTTTGGCTTCTCCACTCATGGGATGCTCTTTGATTAATACAGATTACTAAAGAGAGACAAGATTCACCATCAGCCAGTTCCCTGGCACATGTTTCATCAGGTCCCATGGATTTCTGTATGTACATGCTCTTCAGATGGTCTAGGTCCTGATCTACTCCTACAATGGGCAGGACTTCATTCCCCCTGTCCCTACCTTGAGATTCTGGGACTCCAGAGATTTGGGAAGAGCAATTACAAGTGAAAACTGAGGAGGAAAAAAGCTGTTGAGCACCTCAGCCTTCTCCATTCCATCTCATTTATTGTGGGAACAGATCCTGGCCACGTGGGCTGCCATCCCAGAAACAACCTGTGTCCTGGGCTGATCCCACAGCACGGACAGCATGTGGGGGGGATTACTCCTGTCAGCTCTTGACCTCACATGTGGTCCACAGAACAAGACAAACATGGGTCTGTTGCAGCAAGCTCAGAGGAGGCCACAGAGATGCTCTGAGGGCTGAAGCCCCTCTGCTCTGGAGATGGGCTGAGAGAGAGGTATTCAAGGGTATTCAACCTAGAGAAGAGAAGGTGCCGGGGAGATTTTCTTGTAGTCTTTCAGTATTTAAAGAGGGCTTGTAAGAAAGACAGAGAGACACCCTTTACCAACTCCTGTAATGCAGGACAAGGGTAGTTTTAGATTAGAGCTAAGGAAGACATTTTTTACAATGAGGTAGGTGAAACACTGGAACATCATGAGTAGGTGATCTGTGAAGGTCCCTTCCAACCCATACCATTCTATTCCTCTGTGACCCACAGTGAATGAGCTTTGTACTTTTTCCTGCAACTGCTCAGATTGGCCCCTCTCCACACAGTGTGATCAGCCTGCTGGCCCACTCAGTTACTATGTGGTTACCCCTGTGGTCTCAAAGAACAAACATGAATAAAACCCATTAAGTAAGCTTCCACTTTGTCCTCTCTCTACCATGAAAGTGGAAAGCTTAAAAATCTGCATGTAACATTTTAAAATCTTTCCCCACTTGTGGCAGTGTGCCTCAGGGACGACAAAGGGTTACACTGTCCCACCCCAAACCCCTTGTGAAGGGCGGCCCAGGTGTTCTGATTGGGTTTGAGTCCCTGGGGGGTTCTCCCTTGCTGTGCTTCTAGGGGTCCCTGACCCTGAACTCCACCCTCAAAGGTGGAAACCCTTCGGGGTTCTGTCCCTCAAAAACCCCTGCCGTGCCTCTGTTCAGGGCTCTCTGTTCTGGACCTGAGTTTGTTCCCATGCTGAATAAATGGTTTCATGAACAAAGGCCCGTCTCGGCGTTTGATGCTGGTCCCCAGAATCCTGCTGCTTCCCTGGACGAGATCCTGAGGTTGCTGACTGCAACACTCACTGGTCTCACAGCTGCAAACACAGCTCTTCCATTCCACACAGGCACCACCTTTAACTGTAAATTCTGCCGTTGCCATGAATCATAGTATTTTGCCAGGGGGAAATGACCGGTTTAAATCTTTAAAATTAATAAATTTACATATTTTCAAAATCATAATTTGTTGGGCCTTACAGTTTCACCAAGTGAAGTCAAATTTCTTTCACATCATAGACTCATAAAACGTAAAGTGGTTGGAATGGACTTAAAGATCATCTAGTCCCAAGCCCCTCTGCCCTGGGCAGGGACACCTCCCACTAGACCAGATCATTCAAGGCCTTATCCAACCCAGCTCTGAGCGCTGCCAGCGTCAAGGCATCCACAACCTTCCTGGGTAGCCTGTTCCACTGTCTAACCACCTTCATAGTAAAAAATATCTTACCTAAATTTCCCCTCTTTCAATTTGTACCTGTTACTTCTTTTCCTATTACTGCAGTTACTAACAAAGAATCCCTTCCCAGCTCCCCTGTAGCCACTTCAGACACTTCCACACAACATTCTCTTCTCCAGACTGAACAGTCACAACTTCCTCAGCCTGTCTCCATAGGGGAGGTGCTCATCAAAAGCATATTTGCAAATCAAAGGCCACATGCTGTAAAGTTAAGTTTACATGATTTCCCACTTCAATGCAATAGCTGTACCTGTAAATATAAAAATATATAACTGGTAAATTGTGTTCTTTGCAGTTTAGGATCTTGAAAGGAGCTGAACTACCTTTAAACAAGTAACTTTTTTAATTTTATTCACAGGCAGAGAGTAAGTGTGCCAAATTTGGGGGTAAAAAAGGTAAAAGATACAACGTGGAATAGAATCTTACACTGACATTCTAGGAGCAAATTCTTCAGTCTAGCTAAGGCCTTCAAACTAGCTAAGGCTAGTTCCATTCAGAGAGAAATGCTTCTATCCCTTGCCTTGGGCACTGATCACAGACAGACACAGACACCACCTCTGTGCCAGTACATGAATGCAAAGTTTTGGTTCTTTTACATGGAAGGAAGACTAAAACAGCTTTCCATAAAATTCACGAGGTTCTTGTCCAGCACGGAGCTGCCAGCACTCTAAAATACATCCAGGTACAGAAATGACAGTATCATTGTCACTTCCACATTTCCTCAGTGAATATTGGGAACAATTGACAAGGGCATCTCAGGCTGTCAATTCACACCTCACTTGATGACCACCAAGGAAATCAAACACACCTCACTTGATGACCTCTGAGGAACATTCCCTGAACAAGACCTCTTAGTCAGTGTCTACATTATGAAAACGCTATGGAGAACACAGTGCAACCTTGTGAGCTAGATGAAAAAGTACATAAATTGTAGATACCTGCTTGTTTCCATGTACCCAGGACCCGTATTTCTATAAAAATGCAAAACCTGGGTAACTCCCTTGGTATAACACCCAAATTCTTAATTCTTTACAGTTTAGATTAAGAACCATTCAATTCTTCCAGCTGCATCTTTCCAGAAAAGATAAACTCCTGGAATGCTGTTCAATTCAGGGAGAGACCACCAAATTCCAGGTGTTAGCCCAAGCACTCTGCTTGGAAACCACTGTGGCAACGCTGCACTGGATGAGGAGATAGCAGCGAGTGATAAAGAGAATGGAATGTTAACATTAGCATCTTCTCTTCACCAGAAAACTGAAGGAGTTTTCATACATAAGCCTTTCCAATTCCAGTGAGAATTGTTATAACTTAGGCTGTTTATTCCCAAAGCAAACTTGCATGCATTTCTTCTACCACACAATTTACATGACCAGTGAGGTGACCTGTGCAGGCTGTGAAAGGTGAGAAGTCACCAATCCAGGTGTGGCAAAAATTGAAGTCCCCTACAGGCATGCTGTGTAAACAGCTGGGAAAACAGACAGGTAACTACAGGTGGATATTCACAGTGGAAGCAACAAGAAGAATATAACTAATAGTAGAAAATGAAGATTTAGGTGGCAGATTTGAGCACCTTATCGTGGAGATGACCAGTGCCCATCCAACAACAGCAGGGACTGAAGAAGTCTTCCTAGCTGGGAAGAGCTAATTTAAACCTACACTAGGAAGCATAGGGACCCCACAGATCAACAACCACCTGACAAGAACTAATCACGTTTACTTGTGGCAAATGGAATAATGAATTACCACAAAGAATACCTGCTACTACTACTACTCCTCCTTTTAGCAGCTGTATCCTCCAATATCACTTCCTCTGAGCCAGACCACTCTGCCAGATTGGCACCTTCCTGCCTGCACTAGCACAAACTATCATAGAAGTAACTGGCTATTCAAATGACCAGTTTGTGTCAGCAGCAGCAAGTTGGCATCTTAGGACTTATTTCTCAATATAGTATGTCCATATGCCCAAAGGCAAACATTTCCCATCCCCAGTAGAAAGCACAGACACATCCTTTCTGACTAAAACAGGTCACTTTTCACAGAGCTAAAACCTACCTGTACCAGACAAGGCAGCTGAACACCTGGAGTCACATCTGTGTAGACCAAGAGGAAGCAAGAAACTTATCCCGTGGTTGGAGCAGGAGACCACATATTATGTCATGATGAATTAGCAGGAGATGTTCTCATTGACCTTAAGCAGGAACAGCTCTAAGACAGCAGGCTGAGGATGCATTCGGATCCAACTCTGAAAAGAGAAAGTACATACTGGGTTGAGAGGGAAGTAACATACAATAAAAATAACATTTCCTAGAACAGCATAAACCCACGTGACACTTCATAAGCAGCACAACTTGGGGGGAAAAAAGAGCGGGGAGAACAAGAAGAAAGGGAAGATAAGGCTGACATAGCAGTTTGGGACTTCTCTGGAGACTGTGCACATAGGTAGATGTCCAGGCTGCCAGGACAGCAGTTTTACCCAGGTGACTGGCCCATCCATGTGGGCTCTTCAATTTCCCCACAGGACCCAGCTTGTATTTGTGGAGTCTGGAGAGAACACGAAGGTCACTGCTTGCCTACAACCTGTCAAAATATTGAGCAGACCTGATAAGAACCAGAGGGTGGGAAGGATCAGAGTGGACCCCTGGAATTTGCCTGTCCCAAGAAGCAAGGGTATCTTCCCACACAGATGTTCTCCACCTTGGGAAGGTAGGCTAGTTTAGGAACATTAACCAAGTCAGCTTGCTTTCATCCTTAAAAAAATCAACTCTTTAAAGAACTCAAAATCAGCTCCTACCAGAACACTCCAGCATTTTATCAGGCACCATTAGCTGGCCCAGTGGGATAGGGAGCATGTGGCAGACTGGAATAATTAATGATCCTATAGATTTAGGGCATAGTCAGGCAGCTTCAGTGTCTGCATGCTGCAGTAGGTCCCAAAGAAGACGAACCAGGCTAAGAAAGAAAAGGGACCTGTTCCATGGGAAGAGCTGAGCCCTGCTGCTCCTGACAGCTCTGTACTGTAGCTGATGAAGAAAAGCAGCATTACAACAGAACAGGTGTAAGCACCCGCACACACAGCATTCTCAAGCATAAGCTCACACCTAGACATGCAGATAGAAACAACTGCTCAAAGAATGGATAGGCAAGAAAGGGAAGTATGAGTATTGCAGTGCCAGCCTGGGCAGTGCCAGGCAGCATGATTGGGTAACTCCACCAGCAACAGGACCAAGGCTCTGGATCTAGTGGGGTCAGTAAAAGGGAAGAACAAAGGGCAAAAAGAAGATAATGGTGAATTCTGCTTAAACAGAGCTGTAGTCAAGGAAGGACAGAGCCCAGGCATACAGGGGCTGAGGCAAACACCGCAGTGGAGGCAGCGCAAGTGAGAAGGGAGAGTGCATGAGGTACAGAAAGGAATGTTACTGCAGCACTGAGGAAAGGAGGAGAGCAAAGACTGAGTGTCCTCACCCTGCCTTAGGGGCAATGCCAAGCTTCGAGTTCCTCCTCACAGAGAGGTCAAGGGATTCAGCAAGGGAAGACAGGCTCATTTTGCTGGTGGTGTCCCCATGAAAAACAGCAGATCATTGATTGCTCCTGAGACAACACCAAGGAACGGATTATTTTCAGAAGCTGCAGGACTTCCTTGAATGGGTGGTAGGATGAAGTCCGTCTCTTCAAGAAGGGCAGTGCTGACAGCACCAGGCAAGGACAATGCACACTCTCCCAGATCATGCTAACTGGTGAATGATATTGCTTGCTCCTCAGTCCTCCATTTCAGTTCTACCTCAGTTTTTCCCAGCAGCAACTTGCACTCAGGGATCTTCCACAGGCCATGGTGATGGAAGAAATGGAGAAGAGTTTAGGCTTCAGGGAACAGGAGGGAGGGAAGGAGCAGCAGACTGCAGCAGCAAACTCCTGGTGCCAAAGTGAGATGGTTTGCATGTGTGCGAAGTCAGGAGATATTCCAGAAGGCCACGCAGAGCATCAGTCTCGCACAGACACGGATCTGTTAGTCCTGAGAAAGTATCTTGGACCATGTATCTCCCTCTGAAGACAAAACTGAGGGGCATCTTAGAGGCAGCAAGTCAGATACTCTTTTTCAAAAGCTGCTGTGTGAAGGCTGGCTGTTCCTGGAGCACCAGAGACAACAGTCAATTAGATGCAGGGCAGTGCGGGGATGTCTCCAGGGACAGGGTGTTAAGAAGAGAAGCCTCCTCTCCAGAGGATGCATGGACCATGTCAGGGCAGGATGGGCAAATCCAGAAGAGTGGCGGTGTCTCCCTCGGTAAAGTCAGTCCCTGCTAAAGGAGACCCTTCCGAGAGGGCCTGCAGCTCGCATTCGGGAGCGGTAAATGAGCACTGGGTTCCCCCTTTCTACCCGTCTCTCCGAGCGAGACGGGCTCCTGCAAGGCAGCAAAGCCGCCGGGGCACGGCGTTAGACGCGGGGCCCGCGCTGGGACACCCGGCGGGGCCGGCCGGGCGCTGCACCGCCTAAAGCCGAGTCCGCGGGGAGGATCAGAGAGCGCGGCGCAGCAGCCGCCGGGGTGTTCCAGCCGCGGCTCCACGAGGGAGCGGCGGCGGAGGAAGCAGGTGAGCCCTGCGGGCAGCACCCGGGCGGGAGCAGCAGCGGCGTTGCCCGGGGTCCGTGCCCGGCGCAGGGGTACCGCCGGGGCAGGGCCGAGCCGGAGCGCGGCCGGGGCGGGGGGGCCGCAGGCGCTCACCGTCCCGTCCATGCTCCGCTCCCGCCCGGCCGCCCGCGCCGGGGCGCCTGCGCGGCGCTGCGGAGGCGCTCAGGGACCGTCTGCAAAGTGCGTCTCGCCCGCCGCGCCGGGGGACACGGTCCTGCGCCGGGGAACAGGGTCCTTCCTGCGCCGGGGGACAGGGTCCTGCGCCGGGAAACACGGTCCTGCGCCGGGAGAGCCCGGCCCGAGCCGCGCTGCTGCGGCAGGAGGGCGGTGCAGCCGCGGCCCCTGCCCCGCTCCCAGCCCCGCGGGGGCGGCGCGGCGCGGAGCTCCTCCCGGGGACAGGTGGGTGCGGCGCCCGCACCCTCCCAGATACGCGGGCCGCTCCGGCTCTGCCGCCTCGACGGAGCTCTAGAGAGGGGCGGACTGGCTTTAGGTCCCCCGCCGCCCCTGCTTCCGCCGCCACAGCCACCCTCTTCTCTCCCCACCAGCACCCCGCACCACCGCCGGAGCCCCCTTTCTACCGCAGCCCCCCAGCCACGCACTCACCGTCCCGCACTCACCGCCGCCCCCTGCCGCCCCCGCCACCGCAGCCCCGGTGCTCTCGCAGCGCTCCCGGGCCGCCGCCGCAGCCTCCGCGCGCTCGCCAGCGCCGCCTGCCGTCCCCGCTCTGCACCAGCCCCCGCCCCGCCCGGTGCCGGTCCGGCCCGCGCCGCCCGCACCGGTACCGAGCGGGGCTCGCACCGACAGCCACCGGGCCGGGGTTCACCGGGAGGCAATGAGAATTCCAGTGGCGATGGGGACGGTAGTAGCAGGATGAGAGAGGAAGCAGGCCAGGGGAGCTCTGAGGCACGTCCAATCCTTCAAATTCAGAACCGGCCCAGAGCTGCGATCCACTATCCGCACGCTTTTCCTTGTCTTAAGGAGCTGGTGACTCCGGGAGGGTTGAGGGTACTGGGCCTGGCAGGCTACGGGTCTGTGGTGCGGTGTCAATTGTAACTGGAAAATGAAAATTGCTTCTTAAATACCCAGGGGGTATTTGTGACGTACACTTTTACAGAGCAATTATAAAGAACCCTCTGCGTGACTTGGCAAAGCTCTGCAGACCGTGGGGATGACGAGGGAAGTTTGGACAGTATGAGCACTGACAGTGGATACTTTGGGGTGATGCTCCAAGGAGCTGTGAGGAAGCGGTGAAAGGACTGTGTTCCACCAGCCAGGGGCCAAACAAACCTGACAGCTTCACATGCTCAAAAACTGTGCAAGTCTAAAATATGAAGTAAAATATTGTAAAGATCACAAGGTGGATTTAAGTCTCAGTGGGTGTTTTTAAGGAGGGACTGTACACATGCTTTTGGCTTTTTCACTGCACTTTGTGTCCCACTTTCAAGCTTTTTCCTGCAGTTATTTGTACGAGCAAAACACTGTTGCAAATGGAAATTGAGTTGCTGTGGTATCCGTCACCAGAAAATTGTCCCTTTGAGAATCCATGAGCAATGGTTCAGCATGCATGCTGAGAATATAAGGTAAGTGCCAGGAAAGAGTTAGGAATGGGAGAGGGTGACTGCCTTGGCTGAAGTACAGGTCTAGGGAATGGTGAGTCTGGGGACAGTGGGGCACGAAGGCATCTGCTATAGAGGGGTTCAGGCCACGACTCCTGGCTTGAGACCAGGCTGGCAGCCGGCACTTGCACATGCTCTGCAGTGCTGTACAGAATATTTCACAATGGATGTGTGATAAGGCAATGCTCAAAGCCAAACAGAAGACAGCAAGCTCCTATGAAAAGAACTCTTTGTGCTGGAGTTGAGAACAGAGGAGTATGCTGAGCAAGAATACTTTGCTGTAGCTGGGGAAATGTGCACCTGTTAATGAGAACATCCTGTCCTCTATCTGCTCGTCTTATCTGACCAACAGCAACTCCAGAACTTCTGTGAAATAGCTCAGACCATCTGCAAGACCTGGTTGCACTCTCCAGTGCACTGGGAAGTGGCTATGCAGCACTTTGGGGTGAAGCAGCCGGTAAGCTGTGACTGAGTGGAGGACCTGCCCAGACAGACCTGAACTGCTGCTCAGGTGTGCCCCAGGGAGCAGAGGGGAGGCCACACTGGGCAGATCCCCCAGGGGAGATGGGCTACTCGTCCAGATTGCATGGCAGAGGCACATCATTTATATTCCAGTCTTGGAGAAGACTGATGGACACCATGATCAGATATAATATCTGAGTTCACAGCATCTGGGTTTGGGTTTTTTTAAGTATACTTGTTAATTTGGGATAGAGTAGCAGTTCTGCCACAGATGAAAAGGTGGAAAGTCTATTTTTATCTGTTTCTTGAAGGTAAAAATGCAGCTGGGACAGAAGCTTCTTGTGTTTGTACCATATACTACATATCCTTCTCTAGGATCAGCAGATTATTCCAACAGGATATGTCAGCCAGTCTAAAACATGCAATGGATGAAATTACCTTCACAACTGAAGACAAGGAAGAAAAATATCTATTGCTGTGGACCCCAAAGAAAGTGAAGCATACAGAAAAGTAAACTCACCCAGTGCATATTGAGGAAAGCAGAGACACCACATAAGGGTGTGCATTTCTTTGGGGCTACAAGATCAAACATGACAATCATGGTAATTTGTCTTCCTGGCCAGTACATTATCCCACTGTAGTACACAGACTCAGTGTCACGATCCTCACATAGTTCATCATTTCTGGCTGAACTGAAGGGTATCCTTGGAAAAGATCTAGTCTTTTTTAGCACAAGACACAAAAATGGTGGCACAGAATCAAATCATAAGCACATCTGACTCATTCACCCTCTTCCTGACAGTGGCCAACACCGTCTGCCTAGAAAAAAAGTCACAAAAATAGGGTAGACAAAGAGTGATCCCTCCCTGGCAGCTCTCCTAGCTCTTACAGATTTGTAATCCAGAGACCTGCTGTGACAGAGGTTTTGCCTTTGTGTTTAACAGCCTTTGATAGATTTCTCTTGCAAATTTCATCCACTATATAGTGACTGTCATGAAATGTCATGGCCATGAAGGACTTACTCTACCCACTTACAATTGATAAGTAATTTCACACTTGCCTCCAATGATCTCTGTTACACAAACCAAGCAAGTTTTAGCACAGTGGAAAAGTTACCACTGTAATTCCACTAGCTACTCACTTTCAGCACTGAAAGCATGTGCCTATTTTCTTTTGGAATTAATCTGTTCCAGTCATGCTGTACCCCTGGACAACTAAAAACTGCTTTAGTATCCAGTGTTTTCACCTAGTTCATGTACTCACACACCCTAATCAGATCACTCACAACCTTCTGAGAGTTCAAAGAATCATAGGAAGGTTTGGGTTGGGAAAGACTTTTAAAGGCCATCTAGTCCCACCACACCATGGACAGGGACATCTCCAACTCATAAGGTCAATAAGGTCACTCCAAGTCCCATTCAACCTGATCTCAGAGACTTCCATGGATGAGGTTCTCTGGGCAACCAGTGCCAGTGCTTTCCATCATCATTTTAAAAGTGGTTTCTCTTGCATCTAGTCTGCATCTACCCTATTTTAGTTTAAAACCGCTGATGCCAGTTTAAAGCCATTACCCCTTGTCTTACAAATACAAGAGTTCTGCATCTCACATTGTAAAATACTTCTTATAATCTTCAGGTAAGTTTTGTGAACCTCAAACGTTCTTCTTTTCTCTTTTCCCTAGAAGCCTTAAAATAGGCCATGTGCTATGCCACCAGGGCACTTCTTACTGTTTCATCAACAGCATCTGTTTTACCCAGATTGTCTACCTGTAAAGATCTGTTATGTCTTAAATCTCTGCTTTACAGGGCTGGGACAGAGCCTGGATTTTAGTGTCGAAAACAGTGGGTCCAAGAAAAATGAAGCTGCTTGCACTTTAATACATTCAATTTCTTTACGGACTTACCTTTTTTAAAAATGCAGTCCTCTCTGGAGGAGTGATACACCATCTTCCCCAAGCACGTAAGTTTGCATTTGATTGTTCTAAAACAAAAACCTATGTGAAGAGCCTTACTCTGCTACATACTCTTCTTCACTATTATCTTCGCATGACTTTTTTGCATATTTTTACATACTCTGCCAATTTTATTTGTAGAGATCTTGTATTTGCTTCCAAATAATCAATTAAGTGTCAAACAACACTGGCTGGAGAACTGTTCCTCAGGTAAAAAACAGAATCCCCAGCTTATGGATTGGGCAGTTTACTGGCAGTATTTCCTGCCTTTTCTCTCCTTTTCTTTTCCACAGAGCTGGATTGTAAAAAATAGAATAATCAGCTTCCTTCAGCTTTCTCCCAAGATACAAGATGCTCTTAAGAATTTTAAGTTCTGTGTAGTGCTGCATCATCACCTGGCATGCCCTGACACAGGCAGGGACTTGCCAACAAGTTGGCAACAACATTCCTGGCTTACGGGTTACATCCATCAAATCTCACTATCCTCTTTCCCATGATTCTTTCTTCTCTAATGAGGACTCACTAATGATTCTTGCTTGTCCTATATAATTCCAAACCCCTTCCTTCTGCAGCTTGTTTTACATCCCAGACATCCCCACCTGTCACATCCCCTACAGCTCTCAGTCAGCAATTCCTGACAGCCAATTTCGGCATCTCTCCCAGATTAATGCTCAGCTTGGTGGCATGACACCCAGTGTGTCCCTGTGCAAAAGATCTGCTGCTTGCTTCATTTCTTACAGCACCC